TGAGTGATTGAATTTTTGTTGAATTAAATAATGATATAAAAATATAGATAAATTTGTAAACGATTAAGAAAAAATAGAAAACATTAATGGGATAGAGTAATTATTATACTATTTAATTAATATATTAATTTTTAATAAATATTAATAAAATAAAATAAATAAAAAATATCTCATTATTAAAAAAACTTTAATTTTAATTCTTAAAATTTCTTTAAAAACTTAACAACTTTAATACATAAGATTAAAAAAAACAAATAATTTAAAAATGAATAAAGTAAATATAAAAACTATAAAATAGAGTTAGTTTTTTTTTGTTGGGCCTAGCAGAGTTTTACTTAAAAAAAGTCATATAATATGCATGGGAGCAAATAAGTGTTGAGTAAACTTTAAATGTCATTAGTAATAAGTTTCATATTAAATATGGTAGTAGGAAGGACAAAAGTTAGTAAGTTATGATAGTTTTATTAGCAGCAGTTATAACTTTAGAATTGTAAAAGTCATTAGGTCTATATAAAGACCAAGAGTGTATTTTATTTATCAAGAGCAATATAGAAGTAATCAAAACAAAGTCTGATTCTTTATAACAATTTGGCATCAGAGCTCATGGCAAACATGATGAATCAAATGTTGTTGCCACGGCTAACGAAGTCAAATTATGAAAACTGGAGTATCCAAATGAAAGCTCTTCTTGGATCTCTAGACGCGTGGGATGTGACCCATGATGGATTTGAAGAACCAACAGAAGTTGGGGGATATACGGCAGCTCAAATGAAGACGTTGAAAGAGACGCGGTCGAAGGACAAAACAGCATTATACATGTTGTTCAGGGCTGTAGATGAATTAGGCTTCGAAAAAATTATTGGTTCGACTACGTCGAAACAAGCGTGGGACACGTTAGAAAAAGTGTTCAAAGGAGCAGATCGAGTGAAGCAAGTTCGACTCCAAACTCTTCATGGCGAATTGGAGAGGATACAAATGAAGGACACATAAATTGTATCTGACTACATCACACGTGTGCAAAAGGTGATGAATCAACTCACCAGAAATGGAGAGACAGTAACTGATGCACGAGTTGTTGAAAAGATCTTGAGATCTTTAACAGACAAGTTTGAGAATATTGTGTGTGCAATAGAAGAGTCGAAGGACCTTTCGACGCTCTCAGTCGAAGAGCTCACTGGTTCTCTCGAAGCACATGAACAACGAAAGATGAAAAAGAAAGAAGAAGCAGCCGAAGAAGCAAACCAAACCAAGGAATCGAACAAAGACGAAAAGGTACTCTTTTCTCACAACTTTTGAGGAAGAGGACGTGGACGTGGAGGTCGTGACAGTGGTCGAAGTGGTAGAGGTAGCAACTTCGAAAGAGGACAATCGAGCCAACAAAATTGGCGTGGCAGAGGACGTGGTTAAAGAGGTGGTCGTTCGAATCATTCCAACTTCGAATGCTACAAGTGTGGGAAGTATGGTCATTATGCGAAGGATTGTAACTCCTACAAATGTTACAATTGTGACAAAGTGGGACATCTTGCAAAAGACTGTCGAATCGAAAAAAAGATTAAAGAAACAACCAACCTATCCTTGGAAGCTGAATCGAATGAAGGCTTTCTCCTGATGGCTCAAAAAGAAATCAACACCAATAATGACAATGTTTGGTATCTTGACTCAGGAGCAAGTAATCACATGTGTGGTTACAAACACCTGTTTAAAGATATAAAGAGAATTGAAGATGGTAATGTGTCTTTTGGAGATGCATCGAAAGTGAAGGTCGAAGGAAAGGGCACAATCGATTACTTGCAGAAGGATGGCTTGATTGGATTAATCGAAGATGTTTACTATGTACCAGATCTCAAGACCAACATATTAAGTCTGGGACAACTTACAGAAAAAGGTGCTTCGATACTTATGCAAGATCAAACACTGCATTTGAAGGACAAAGTAGGACATCTGATTGCCAGTTTCAAAATGGAAAGAAATCAAATGTACAAACTGAACCTGAGGAACATTCGAGAGAAATGTCTGCAAATCAAAGTGCAAGACAAAGCGTCACTATGGCATATGCGCTTTGGTCATCTACATCATGCTGGTTTGAGAAGGTTGGCGAAAAGGAACATGGTGCATGGACTACCAGACATGGATTTCGAAGGAAAATTCTGTGAAGAATGTGTGCTCAGCAAACAAACAAGAACCTCATTTCAAAGGAAGGTCGAGTATCAAGCTAAACATATTCTCGAATTGATACATACTGACATATGTGGGCTAATCACTCCAGAATCCTTCAGTGAAAAAAGGTACTTCATTTCCTTTATTGATGACTTCTCAAGAAAAACTTGGGTTTACTTCCTGAAAGAAAAATCTGAAGCATTAGAAGTGTTCAAAAAGTTCAAAGTAATGGTGGAGAAGGCAACAGACAGACACATCAAAGCAATTCGATCTGACAGAGGAGGTGAGTATACTTCAATGGCCTTTGTGAAGTACTGTGAAGAACAGGGCGTAAGGAGATTCCTAACTGCACCATATTTTCCTCAACAAAATGGTGTGGCTGAAAGGAAGAATCGAACTATTCTTGACATGATTCGATCAATGCTCAAAAGCAAGAACATGTCAAAAGAATTATGGGCAGAAGCAGTACAATGTGCTGTTTATATTCAGAATAGATGTCCACATTCAAAGTTAGAAGACAAAACACCACAAGAAGCATGGAGTGGACAGAAGCCAACAATTTCTCATCTCAAGGTATTTTGTAGTATAGCTTATGCACATGTACCAGATCAAAGAAGAACAAAGCTTGAAGACAAAAGTCAGAAGTACATATTCATTGGATATGATGAGAAGACGAAAGGGTATAAGCTCTTTGATCCCATAAGCAAGAAAGTGATCGTGAGTAGAGACGTTCGAATGAACGAAGCAAGCAAGTGGGACTGGAACAATTTGACAGAGGTTATTGACACAGTCGAAGAAACAACTGTAGCTGTACCAACAACTATTCCAACAGAACATGAAGAAACTGAAGATGAAGATGAACCTCTACAACCAAAAATGAGAAGTTTGCAAGATTTGTATGATTCAACAAGTGAGGTGCATCTTGTGTGTCTTCTGGCAGATGCTGAAAACATCAGTGTCGAAGAAGCGTTACGAGACAAGAAGTGGAAAAGTGCCATGGACGAAGAGATTAGAGTAATCGAACGCAATAATACTTGGGAGCTAGTCGAATTGCCAAAAGGTAGTCAACCCATTGGTGTAAAGTGGATATTCAAGAAAAAGATGAATGCTCAAGGAGAAATCGAAAGATTCAAAGCACGAATGGTTGTGAAGGGATACAAACAGAAAGCAGGAATTGACTATGACGAAGTGTTTGCGCCTATTGCAAGAATGGAGACAATTCGATTACTCATTTCTCAAGTTTCTCAATTCAAATGGCCAATATTTCAAATGGGTGTCAAGACAGCATTTTTGAATGGTGTGATCGAAGAAGAAATCTATGTCGAACAACCACTTGGATATATGAGAATTGGAGAAGAGAAGAAGGTGTTGAAACTGAAGAAATCGTTGTATGGGCTGAAGCAAGCACCTAGGGCATGGAACACACGTATTGACACATATTTCAAAGAGAATGGGTTCGAGCAATGTCCTTATGAACCCGCCCTCTATGTGAAGAAAAATGGAAGTAATTTATTACTTGTTGCTCTCTATGTTGATGACCTTATCTTTCTAGGCAGTGATTTTCAGATGATCGAAGATTTCAAGAGCACCATGACAAGCGAATTTGAAATGACAGACTTAGGTCTGATGAGATTCTTTCTTGGTCTGGAGGTTCGACAAGAAGAAGCTGGAATCTTTATTTCACAAGAAAAATATGCAAAAGAAATCCTAGAAAAATATAAAATGAAGAATTGTAATCCAACTTCGACGCCAATGGAACCAGGTACAAAACTGTCAAAGTTTGATGGAGGAGAACGGGTTGAAGGAAGCAAATATCGAAGCTTGGTAGGTAGCCTTCGATATCTCACATGCACAAGGCCAGACATTTCACTAAGTGTTGGCATAGTAAGTCGATTCATGGAGGAGCCAGTACACACACATTGGAAGGCGCTGAAACGAATTCTAAGATACATCCAAGGAACAGTATCACTAGGAATGTTTTATTCAAAAACAGAAGACTACAAGTTAATTGGTTATTCTGACAGTGACTGGTGCAGAGACATAGACGATCGAAAGAGCACCTCCGGATATGTGTTTTTCATGGGAAACACAACATTTACTTGGCTATCGAAGAAGCAACCTATAGTAACACTTTCGACGTGTGAAGCTGAATATGTGGCAGCATCCTGGTGCGTCTGTCATGCAGTATGGCTCGAAAGGTTGATAAGCAAGATGGAGCTAAAATAGGAAGGTCCAACAATAATACAAGTGGATAATAAATCAGCTATCGAATTGGCAAAGAATCTAGTGAATCATGAACGAAGCAAACACATTGATGTTCGATTTCATTTCATTCGTGAACATGTGAAGGAGGGAAGTGTCGAATTAAGGCATGTAGCAAGCAGAAACCAAGCAGCGGATATTTTCACAAAACCACTATCAAAAGAGATCTTTGACAGAGGCAAGAAGATGATAGGAATGCTGGATGGAAGAAACATTTAAGTTTACATAGGAGTTTTGTTGAGTAAACTTTAAATGTCATTAGTAATAAGTTTCATATTAAATATGGTAGTAGGAAGGACAAAAGTTAGTAAGTTATGGTAGTTTTATTAGTAGCAGTTATAATTTTAGAATTGTAAAAGTCATTAGGTCTATATAAAGACCAAGAGTGTATTTTATTTATCAAGAACAATATAGAAGTAATCAAAACGAAGTCTGATTCTTTATAACAATAAGCGTCACATTTATAAAGAAAGAGAGTGTGAATGAATCCAGATAAACAGACTCGTTACTCGGTAACAATGGCGGCGACACCAGCATGCAACTCCAATGTACCCAAAAATAATGGCGGCTGCAGAAGAAGTATGTTCATATTTATCGGAGGAATTACTGGAGTGCATCTTCGAATATCTCATCGGCGACAACTGCACTTTCAAGGATCTCTCCGTCATTCCAAACAGTTTCTCTCCATCACCAACGGTGTCCATTTCTCCGTCACAATCAGCGCCTCTCTCGCCTCTTCCACCGCTTCCCTAACCTCACTCTCCTCTCCAAAAGGAAAGAAGAAGTCGACGCTCTTCTAACCCTAATCTCCACTTTTCCTTTATACATCAAATCACTCAATCTCACTTATCCACGGGTTAGTGGTAGCCAAGATTTTGTGATAGATGATAATGATCCATTATTGGCCCTTCCCGATCTCCGCGAGATTAACCTATCAGGTAATATCATCAGTAATCAATTTACTGACTTTCTCCACTAGAATTGCAGGCTTCTTCAAGAGATCACGTAGTTTGACGGGGAATATGGCCATAGTCATATTATAATATGTTTTTAGTCGAATTACAGTTTTCTTATCAATTTGGTTGTTGTTGCAAAGTTTTGTTTTGTATGCATATTGAAGTTGGTTTCGCATGTACATATATTCTCCGCATATATTTTGTCTACATAAAGTCAGATATAATCATACAAGATGTTTCATATTTTGCTTGCTGCTTGATATTGAGACAAAACGTGTCCCATAAACCATGAGTAGTGATCTATGAAACTCTGACACAGTAATTAAAAAGCGTATCCTCGTATCGGATATGTATCGAACACCGACACGCGTATGAGACAGACACATTTTTGAAGTGTTAAACTAAAAAAAATTGAAACGCAGAAGACATAAATACGACGCACGATTTCAAATAATGGATATGCCAACCTCTCAAAATCTCATAAGTAAAAAAATAAAACATTTTCTACCTTTCATATTCCACCACCCCACTATAAAAACAACTCGTATGCGATAGTGGTGTACTCTTCTATTTCGGTTATGGGAAGAGTTTGCTTGGCATTTGAAGGAGGTTATTGTCTAGAGGATGCACAATGAGATTACTGTTCATCAGGAAGCAAAACATATTTCTCTGCTGGCGCTTTTCAAACCAGATCAGTCTGTTGTTAATGAGTTCATATAACTGCCCGGTGGAAATGGAATTTTTTAAGTTAATTCTTACTACAAAGCACACGATTCTGAGTCCACGAATGTTTCGAGTGCTGTGTTAACAGCCTCACAAAACTTATGGAAATCCTTAGTTCCTCTGAAAATTCATCTATTTGGTTGGAGGCTTATCAGAAATAGGTTAGCAACTAGAGATCAACTTATAAAAAGAGGTATGATTGATAGTAGTAGAGATAGCTGATGTGTTTTGTTTTGGCGAATTTGAAAATTGTGGCCCTCTTCAGCTCTTGCGAAGTCTCGTCTCGAATTTAGGAAGCAGTTGTTGCTTGGATGAGAAGATATGAAGGAGCCCCAATTAATAGTGTTCACCTATTTTGGATCAACTACACTGGTTTTAAGGATTTAAAGTTGACAATTAAAGTTTGTGTGATTGGCTAGCTACCTCTTGAAGCATTTGGCTTATGAGAAATGACATCTTATTTAGAGGAAGAATTTTCAATTTTGAAGATTGTGTTTTTGTTAGATGTAACAGGAACAGAATAGAGAAAATAGAAGTTTTGGAAATGAATGTTTATTCCTTGTGAATTGCAGTACAATAAATAGAGAATAAAACCAACGTGCTGTAACAAACTACAGCCCACTTCTAGCTAAAAATAAGGAAACAAACTTGACTAAATCAATTAACAAACTATCCTAAAAACTAGGACACTTATTTGACTAAATACTTAACATTCCCTCCCTTGAACTAGACTGCATTTGCAGCTAGTTAACATGTGACAGTTCACACACTCCAAGCCTCCTTCTTAGCTCTTGGAATAGCTCCAATTTGAGCGGTTTAGTGAAAATGTCGGCTATCTGCTGTCTTGTACCACAGAACTGAAGCTGCACAACTCCATTATTCACTAGCTCTCGTAAGAAATGGTAGCGCACATCAATGTGCTTGCTCCTGCCGTGCATCACCGGATTTCTCACCAACTTAATTGTTGAGCTATTGTCACAAAAGATGACAGTGCTCTCGCTGCCCATGTAGCCAATCTTCTTTAACACCCTTTGCATCCATATTGCTTGACAACTACTTCCTGCAGCTGCAATGAATTCAGCTTCGGTTGTGCTTAGTGTGACGATCAGTTGTTTTCGAGAAGACCAAGTCACTGCTGCTCCACTAAGCATAAAAACATAGCCCGAGGTGCTTCTTCTATCTTCCACTGATCCGGCATAATCGCTGTCAGTAAAACCAATCAACTCATGACTTCCTTCCCTTCTGTAAAGAATGCCAAACGTTGTTGTACCTTGCAAGTAACGTAGAATTCTCTTGGCTTCCGAATGATGAAGTTTTGTAGGCCTTGACATATACCTGCTTAATAAGCTTACTGCATACATTATATCTGGTCTGGTAGCAGTCAAGTACATCATGCTCCCAATCAGCTGCTTGAAGAATGAACCATCCATCTCAATACCATTTTCATCTTTGGAGATTTTGAATCCTTGAACCATTGGATTTTCAACCGAATTGCTATGCTCCATTCCAAAGCGTCTCAACACTTCCATCACGTACTTCGCCTGATTGATGAATATACCACCATCAAACTGAACTACCTCAATACCAAGAAAATACTTCATCTTACCCAAGTCCGTCATATCAAATTCCTTCATCATGGACTCTTTGAATTCAATCATCATATTTTCATCATCTCCGGTATAAATTAAATCATCAACGTACAAGCTAATAATTAAATGTTTACCTTGTTTGTTGACTTTTGTAAACAAAGTTTGCTCGCTGTCCTCCTTCCCAAAACCTTCCTTTCGGAAATATGATTCAATCCGGGGGAACCATGCTCGTGGTGCCTGCTTGAGTCCATACAAAGCTTTGTTGAGCTTATACACCTTATGTTCCTCATTCTTTATTTCATAACCTCTTGGTTGCTCCACGTACACGTTCTCCGTTAACTTCCCGTGAAGGAAAGCTGATTTCACGTCCAACTGAAACACACACCATCTTCTTTGTGCTGCAAGTGCTAAAATAATTCGAACCGTGTCCATGCGAGCTACGGGAGCATATACTTCTTCATAATCAACTCCGTATTCTTGAGCATACCCTTTTGCGACCAAGCGAGCCTTGTGTTTATCCACTTCTCCGAGCTCATTCAATTTTGTCTTGTACACCCATTTGACTCCTATTCTTTTAGCTCCAATAGGCAGCTCAATAAGATCCCACGTTCCATTCTTCTCAATTGATCTCATTTCGGCATCCATGGTTGTTCTCCATTTCTCCTCCTTTACTGCTTCGTCAAATGAAATTGGATCAGAATGAATAGCACTAGCAAACAAGGCTAAGTGAGTTTGTACCTCTTCCCCTTCATCTGAAAGACCCTCACCAGAGACATAATCACTCAAATATGTTGGTGCTCTTCTAACTCGGAGTGTTATCGGAGGAGCCGCTTCATCTTCTTCATTGCCATCACTGGATTCATCCCTCACCGGAGAAGCTACGTTTTCTTCTTCATTACCATCGTCGGAATCCTCCACCTCTTCACCGTTGTCATCTTCCCATTCCAAATCAAATGTGTTATCTTCTTCAGATTTCTTCTCCCAGTTCCACTGCCCATCTTCTTTAAAGGCGACATCACGGCTGATAATAATCCTCTTAGAGGTCGGATCATATAGTCGATATGCCTTTGATTCTGTACTTACACCAAAAAAGACACAACAACGACTCTTATCTTCAAGCTTTGTTCGCCGAGCATCCGGTACGTGAGCATATGCTATACAACCAAAGACTCTCAAGTGCGTAACTGAAGGTATCACCCCATACCAAGCTTCCTCTGGCGTCGTTTCCTTCATCGATGATGTTGGACATCTATTGAGAACATAGAGTGCCCAGTTTACCGCCTCTGCCCAGAATTTTCTTGGAACATTTTTCTCAACCAATAAGCTCCTCACCATATTCATCACGGTTCTATTTTTCCGCTCGGCGACTCCGTTCTGCTGCGGTGTATATGCAGCAGTTAATTGCCTCTTGATTCCATTCATTTTACAATATTCCTTGAACTCGTTAGATGTGAATTCACCTCCACGATCTGTTCTTAAACATTTAATGGACAGTTCTGTTTCTTTTTCAACAAGAGCTTTAAACAACTTGAAGGTAGTGAATGCATCTAACTTGCAAGAGAGAAAATACACCCACGCCTTCCTACTGTAGTCATCAATAAAGCAAATGAAATACCTCTTGTTTCCCTCTGAAGACGGAGAAATTGGGCCGCAAATATCAGCATGAACCAGCTCCAATTTTTTCGACGCTCTCCATGTACTTCTCCTTGGGATTACATCTCGATGTTGTTTCCCTTTTAAGCAATTTGTGCATACAATTTCACCCTTCGGGAAACTTGGCAGGCCTCTTACCATGCTTTTTGTTTGCAAAGTCTTCAACCCTTTGTAGCTGAGATGACCAAATCTTCGGTGCCAGAGGTGAGCCACATCTTCGGTGTCGTCGGTTGTTGCTTGGAAACACTCTTCTTTGCTTTCACTTTTGATTGATTTAGTGCTCGAAAACAACACAAACATTCGATTTGCTGCCATGTTGGTTTGGAATACCAAACCCTTTGTGCGGTGATAAATGTGACACTCATTTGACCGCATTAGTACAGCAAAACCCCTTTCTTGTAGCTGCCCAACACTGAGAAGATTATTCTTCAAACCGGGAACATAATAGACATCCCGTACAAGGTGGTTTACTCCTTTTATTGTCAATCGAACACTTCCTTTTCCGGAAACATTCATGCTTGCATAATTCCCCAATCTAACCACCTTGTTGAACCCTTCTTCTAACTCACAAAAGAGTGAAGAATCACCACACATGTGATTGCTGCACCCAGAATCAATATACCACATAACATCTCGAGCGTCTCCAAGCGTGTCGACATACGCCATTAGCACCATCTCTTCAGATTCCTCCAAACCAGCATAATTTGCTTGGCACTTGTACTGGAAGTGTCCAAGCTTATGACATTTATAACACTCAACTGTTTCCTTACTCCTCGATTGGCTGCCCCTACCTCTGCCTTGTCCCCGACCTCCTCGAAAAGTAGCGCTTCCTCGCCCTCTTCCACCATAGCTCTCTTCATGAGTTACCTTCAAAGCATG